CTTATCCCACTTGGTTGGCCAAGCCCACGAGCCCATACGGACCTCACATGATTGAAGGGGAAGGAAGCAAGCTTCTGTTGTGAATGGAGCACCCGTAGGGTAGTAGAAGCCTCGACTTTCCTGCCCGTGACGCTCTTACAGTCATAGAAGCACCGACCTACGGCTTCAAAGCGATTCCGAACCACTACATAAACATCCATGGCACCGCCGGGATCTCGAACCCGAAAAACCTGCAGCGGGCGCTCAGAAAGAGCGCTAGACACTCGCCCATTCAGGTCCCAAATTTGCGAATGCCAACGGCATGCGGTGTTCCCAGGTGGTCACCCACCCAAGTACTGACCGCGCCCAATGATGCTTGACTTCGGTTGTTCAAATTTTTATATCAATATAAATATACAATCGAAAGAATCATTACAATCCTATAGCATAATTTAGATGGTTTTCCTTATAAATATATACATATATAACAAATTCATTATTTAATCTACTGATGTCAGACAGACGCCGTGTTGCTTATTGCTTTCGAATGGGAACACTTTTATCACTGGACGGCAGAGAAATAGCAGATTAAAAATTCTCCAGTGTGCAGTTCATTGGTGCATACATTTTGAATTTGCATTAGGCTATTACTATTTTAATAATTTATTCCTAAAGATTCCCATTTTACAATTTAGTTCACTTACTATTTTCCTTATTCTCACACCTGATCCCCAATACAGAATGACAGCAAAATTCCTGCCTTATTTTTAAATGTACTTAATATATAGTTATAAAATATGATATTTAATTTTATAAGAAAATACTGATGCAATTAAAAATTAATAATTAATTCAGAATAATTAAAAATTTTGTAAACCTTTTTTTTAAATTTTAATTACGAGATGCAGAATTTGGACTTTCTCCAAAACTTTCGAATGGCTCGGTTGATACAAAAAAATTAAAAAAAAACTTTCAGTAACCAGTTGAGTGTATAAGGAACGGACAGTTTTCGCTTTATTTAACATCTTACGATTCTTCTGTTTGCTTACTGTAGTAGTGCCAATTCCTGCTTGGCGTCTAAAGTATTCTTTGATTGTGACCCGCGGTTTCTTGGCGATTGCCATCAAAACAATTTCTCTTCTCGACATTTTTTTTCAGCAGTAGTTCAAGTGACTTTACCCTCCCCGCAACATGTCGTTTTTTCTTCAACTTTCTTCTTCCGCTGTAACTACAGAAAAAGAGCGCCATTTTTCTTTGCTTTTTTCTTTTCTGTTTCATCCGTTGCTCGTGAAATTTATTTTTCTCCCTCTTCTAACAACTAGACTTTCTGATACAAAAGGAGTGAACAATGGACGTGGCATGGAGGGCAGAATAGCTGGAAGTCGATGAGCACATCTACAAAAAAAAATTGATTAATCTTCTTTCAGTTCCACTGGATCATGAAATCATTCACTTTTTAGCCATTGTGTTTCTAGTTGAAACGGAGAGATATTTATAAATATTCTCAATAAGTAATCATGAATTTTTTCCATATTTTATTTTATGGCATTAAAAGTTATAATGGATGAACTATTGATCTATAATAGTATATAAGGAAGTTCATTTAAGAAATTACGTTCAGATTTTCATATCAATAAAATTTACAAAAAAAACCATTGTAATCCAATAGCATAATTTATAAGAATTTCCTTGTAAATATATACATAAATAACAAATTCATTATTTATTCTACTGATGTTAGCATCGCTGTGTTGTTTATTGCTTTCGAATGGGGAACTTTTATCACTTGGAAGGCAGAGATATAGCAAATTCTGCGTTCTCCAGCGCGGTGTTCGTGGTGCCTACTTTATTGAATTTGCATTATGCCATAGTGATTTTAATGAATATTTATTCGTAAAGATTTCAAATTTTAATGAATTCACTAAACATTTTCCTTTTTCTCACACCTGATACCCGATTCAGAACCGCAGCAAAATTCCTGCTTCATTTGTAAATTTACTTATTTATAATTATAAAATACAATAATTGATTTTATTAGAAAAGACTGATGCAATTAAAAATTAAAAATTAATTCAGGAATAATTAAAAAATATGTAATTTTAATTTTAATTACCAGAAACAGAATTTGGATTTTCACCAAAACTTTTGCGTGGCTTAGTTGATACAGAAAAATTTTTAAAAGTCTCTCAGTAACCAGTTGAGTGTACTAAGGAACGGAACACTTTTCGCTTTACTTAACATCTTACGATTCTTCTGTTTGCTTACTACAGCAGTGCCAATCCCTTTTTGGCGTCTAAAGTATTCTTTGATTGTGACCCGCGGTTTCTTGGCGATTGCCATCGAAACAATTTTTCTTTGCGACTTTTTTTTTCAGTAGCAGTTGAAGTGACTTTACCCTCCCCGCAACATGTCGTTTTTCCTTCAACTTTCTTCTTCCGCTGTAACTACAGAAAAAGAGCGCCATTTTCTTTGCTTTTTTTGTCTTTCTGTTTCATCCGTTGCTCGTGAAATTTATTTTTCTCCCTCTTCTAACAACTAGACTTTCTGATACAAAAGGAGTGAACAATGGACGTGGCACGGAGAATGAAATGGCTGGAAGTCGATGAGCACATCTGCAAAAAAAAAAATTGATTAATCTTCTTTTACTTCCACTGGTTCATGAAATCATTCACTTTTTCGCTATTGTGTTTTCAGGTGAAATCGAAATATTTATATAAATATTCTCAATAAGTAATCA